AATACAATACAATACAATACAATACAATACAATAGGAGAGTTGGAAGGGACCTTGGAGGTCTTCTAGTCCAACCCCCTGCCTAGGCAGGAAACCCCATACCGTTTCAGACAAATGGCTATCCAACATCTTCTTAAAGACTTCCAGTGTTGGGGCATTCACAATGGTGTTCTACTGATTAATTGTTCTCACTGTCAGGAAATTTCTCCTCAGTTCGAAGTTGCTTCTCTCCTTGATTAGTTTCCAAAACAATGCCAATTATATTGAGTGGCCGGACAGGAAACTAACACAGAGAGTAAAGTGCCTGGAAGAGTTTGTGTTCATGAATCACTTTGCCTGAATATGATCTTTTTTCCCCTCTGAGGAGAAAGGTGAAAACGCTAATAGGAAAACTTTATAACAGAATATTTGTTTATAGCTATAGTTGTGATGTATATAGAATAACAGAGTTGAAAGGGTCATGCAATCACCTTTTGCACCTTTTGCAAAAGAGGAGGGTGTGATTCCTAAGGAGAAAAACCTCTGCCTCAGGAGTCAGGAGTGAGTCAGGCTGGAGAAATTAGGTATTAGATTCCTAACCTGTTTACTACCGATTCCCTGAGAGAGGGCGTTTTGTGCGCGCACAAAAATCTTGCACGCATGCTGCTTGCTTGACTCGCACCCAAGCCAGCCACATGTTGCTGCGCGATCGCAGTTTACTGAAAACTGTTTTGCGCATACACAGAAACATGCCGGTGACGGGAGAAGAGACCGGGAACCGGTTCGGGGGCGTGGCAGGCCTGGGTGGCTGCCGCTTCCAGCGACCCAGGCTAGAAAACCACTACCGCTTCGTCTGAACCGGTCTGACTGGTAGGAACCCACCTCTGCCCCCCCCAGACAAGCAAAGTCAACGGGGAAGCCGGATTCATTTAACAACCATGTTACTAACTTAACAACCGCAGTGATTGACTTAACATCTGGGGCAAGAAAAGTTCGTAAAGGGAGGCAAAACTCACTTAAAATGTTGGGCTGAATTGCGGTCGTAAGCCGAGGATTACCTATATTCAAAATACCCCAAGCAGCTTTGGATTCAGGTATGGCATCTCTGTAGAACTGTGTCTCTGCTGAATTACAGATTTTCAGGCTAACCAGAGGCAAGCAATCTTTAATCTCTAAAACAGGGGTGTCAAACACAAGGCCCGCGGGCCGGATTGGGCCCACAATGTGGTTGGATCCGGCCTGCAGGGCCATCCTAGAAAGTGTAAGGGGCCAGCCAACATTGCTTTGGCCCGGCCTACCCAATGCGAAAAGGAAACATGCCTGCAGTTTGGAGAGTGGCATCAAGCTGGCCACGCCCACCCAGCTGGCCACACCCAGTGAGTGGCATCAACCTGGCCATACCCACCCCATTGGCCATGCCTCCCTCCCCCAAGGTCAACCACAGCCGTGATGCAGCCCTCTATGTAATTGAGTTGGACACCCCTGCTCTAAAGCTTCCCATTCTTAGTCCGTCTAGCTCAATTTAGCATACTCTGCATGGAAGTGGAACAAGAAATCTCTTTTTATCAGGAGCACAGTCTTGATTATTAGGATTGAACCCGGATTTAACAACGGCAGTTCGATGCTTTGGGGTGTATGGTACAAATTCACATGTCTACCTTTTCAAAACGTTGGGAAGTCATTACACTGATTTTCAGCAACTGAAATCTTACTGGTGACATTGGAGGGAACTCCAACACAAGAGAATTCTTTTCAGAGTGCGAACTTAGACCCATAAATTGCCCAAGCTTAAATTAAACAAACCTTTGATCGGTCCAGGTATAAGAATGTTTATCACTCCTTAAGCATCTAAAAATATAATATTAGGATCCTATTAATATAAAATCAGAACTAAGAAGGGCAGAACTCCATCAGTAGGTTCAAAAAACACAAGAAGGTTGAGAGTCAAATATGAAAAGACAGCAAGCAAGAATGTACTATTGTGCACAAAGAGATGCATAGGGTCATCACATACTAAATTATGTTCTTCCTTTTTCAGTGCATTGTTATAGTAACGATTGATGACTTAGATTCTTATAAAATCAGCCCAGTCTTATTTCCTATAAACCAGTCTACAATTCTCTTTCTTCTCAACCACCATGGTTGTTGATAATCCAAGCTTCTATAAATTGCAGTCTTCCATAATTGCCAATGGTGGTTGAAGAATGATGGGGGCTGTAGTCCAAGATGCTTCAGGGTACCTTATCAGCAAAGCTGCTTTAGGATTACATGCAAACATAATTCCTCTTGATTTTCTAGAGTATTGCTTATACTGCTTATAATAAATCCACGTAAACAGTTGCAAAATATTGGCTTCCCACACGGCACTTTTCTTGACCCTAGATTTTACCTTGGGTTGGATCGTGGTTCTCCCAGAAGAATTGGAGGAGCTTTTCATAGCTGATCTTCTGTGGGTCAAATACTACACGGACCACCTCTGCATGTCCTGTCGTCCCTGGAAACAGAATGGAGAAAATCACCCAATTAGAGGTGGGGTTTTTTTTTAGCTTTGCGGTTGTTACAACCAATGGAAATTCACCCTGTTGTGGGGCCAAATTGATACTGCTGAGCCTTCTGTCAAATTGCAAATTATATTCTATGCTACAAAAGCAGAGATAATTCTTGACCTATGAACATTCATTTACCAACCATCCGAATTTACAGCAACACTGGAAAAAGTGACTTATAGTCGGTTTTTGCACTCAGAGCCGAGGTGGCGCAGTGGTTAAATGCAGCACTGCAGGCTACTTCAGCTGACTGCAGTTCTGCAGTTCGGCTGTTCAAATCTCACCGGC